AGAGCATGCGGTGCCGGGGATGTGTCCCCAAGTGCTGGTGGCTCTGTGGGGCAGGAGGGTTTGTCCCTGCTGGCTCATCCAACCCCACTGGGGGAAACTGCTCCCCGTGGTGCTCAGCAAAAGGAAAAACTAAAAGATTTTGCCATTGCATGAACTCACTGAAGCAAGAGGCAGGGCTGGTTCGCCAGCTCCCAGGAGGAGCCTGCCCAGCTGATTTTGATGGTGTCGCTTTAACCCGAAACCACTGGCCCTGACCACAAGAGCACTGGCCCTGCCTCCATAAAGCATCCCGGGGCACTGGAGAGGGCACAAACGTGGAGCTGTCATATTGGATGAGCTGATGATCACAAGCAAGCTGGACAGACAGATCTGACAGCTCTCTTGTTTTAGGTTTAATTATTCATGGTTATATTTTCCCCTTTGCAAGGCTGCGGTGCCCTGTGGTTCCCTCCAACCCCAGCTCTGAGCGTGCAGGCTGTTTCACCTCTTGATTTTATCTTTTCTGCAGAAACGTGCTGCAGCTGCAACACCTCAGCTGCCTCACATTGCGATGGGTGCCAGCTCCGTGGTCCTGCCTGGGGCCAGATCCCAAGCACAGGTGAGTCCTGCATGTCCTTGGTGTGTCCCCACCCCATCACCCGGCCACAATGTGCCCTTCAGCCATGTCCCTGCTGGCTGATCGGGGACATTTGTCATCACCCTGTAGGTGGCTTTATTTTTAAGGACTGTCTCTGAACCTCGTGGCTCCAGGGCAAACCCTGGCATCACCTACAGCTGTGAAGCCTCTGAATGGGAAAAAAAAAAGAAGAAAAAAAAAAAAGCTAAATCCTCAGGAGCAGCAGGCAAAGCCCCCATCCTACACCCTCCCCCTTCATGCAAACATCCACAGCACCAGGATCCTCCCATCTTATGGCAGCAGCAGCAGGAGCATCCCAGAGTGGGAAAAAACCCTATTAGTGCCACTTCCCCCCCAAAAAAAAACAAAATAAAACAAAATAAAATAAAATAAAATAAAATAAAATAAAATAAAATAAAATAAAATAAAATAAAATAAAAAAGAACAGCAAACAAACAAACAAACCAATTGCTGTAGTATGTTGAAAATGTAATTAAAAATATAATTTGGAAGCACCTGCATCTCAGCAGGGCCCCAGCGCAGCTCCCTGGGGAGGAGGAGGGGAGCGGGGACGGGGATCTGGGACATCAGCACCGCTCAGCTGCCTCCTGTCCCCCTCAAACACCTGCCAGCTTCACGCCGGACCTGTGCTGGGTGTTTTATATCCCCATTCAGGCAGCCGGAGCTGAAGCCAGCCGTGCTCCTCCCGCAGCCCTGGTCGTGCCAAACCGTCCCACGCCGCTCCTGCCGTGCCCACCGTGCTGGCTCGAGCGGCACTGAAACATCTCAACACACTTCATAACTCTCCCCACCTCTCAGACCAACAAAAGTAAGTCCTGTCTGAAGCCGAAGGCTTTCTTGCCTTTTGTTTCTGCTGCTTCTTTCTTCTCTCTCTTTTTTTTTTTTTTTTTTTTTTTTCTTGGGAGGCGCCCAGCTCGTCCCGGCGCTTTCCCCATTTGGCGGATTTTTGGGGTGCAAAGCAGGGAGGGATGCGCCTGCATTTGCACAGGCAGTGCGTGTGGCTGTGTGTGTGCATGAGTGGGAGCTGCTGGTGGAGCCGGGGGGGCCGCGGGGCCCGGGGACAGCTGCGGCTCGGCAGGGTCAGGATGTGACATCAGCGGCGGCACAAAAACCCTCGGCCCCGCTTTCTGCGACGAGAGCCCGGCCAACATCGGCGTGCGGCCGCTCCTCCCGCCGTGGGGCATCCCGGCGGGTGCTGGGCTTTTGTTTTGAATTGGGTTATTTAATTATTTTTATTTTTTATTTTTTTTATTTTTTATTTTTTATTTTCCCTAGTAAGAGAGCAGCAAGCACGGCGGGATCGTGTGCTGGCGGCTGGGCGTGCCGGGGATGAGGTGAGTGCTGGGCTGGGGAGAGGAGCAGCACCAACGTCCCGGTGCTGTGTCCCCCACATCCCCGAGGATGCTCCTGGGGTGCTTCCAAGGCAGGGAGGGCAAACCCAGGGGAGAAACGAGCCCCCCCTGCCCAGCTGGGACACGGGAGCCTGCGGAGACTCTTCCCAATGCTGCCGGTGTCTCAGCTGGGCTGTGTGTGTGAAAACCGAGGGGTCCGGAGCCTGGGGTGCAGGAGGGTGCTGGGCTGGGGAGCCTGGGGGTGTTTGGGGCACGGGGGGAGCCCACAGTGGGGGTGGTCACCCCACAGCCCGGTGGGGACGGTCCTGGAGGTGGCTTTGTCTGTGTCCAGGGGAGGGCAGGGGGAGCTGGGGCAGGGCGAGCGGTGAGGATGTGCTTCTAGCCGCTGGCGTGTGTCCCACCGGAGTTCCTGGCATTTGGGATTCTGGCTGTGATGGTGGGGACTGACCTCCTTGGGTGCCGCAGGGAGCCTGTCTGCAGGGCTCTGAGCAAGTCACTGGTGCCCACAGCAAGATCCCAGCCCCAGGAGTGAGGTACCCCCAAACAGCATCACCCCAAAGCAAGCTGGATGTGCCACCTGCAGCACAGAGAGATGGGGCTTAGTTTTTTGGGGTCAGGGACACAGAGGGGACAGCGAGGCTGGTCTGGGGGTGAGCAGAGATGTGAGTGGTTCTGTTCCTGGAAACCACGTTGGTTTTCACCAAGTGGGGATTTCCGAGTGTCAGCAGAGCTGAGGGAAGTACCGGCACAGAGAGCAGAGCCCCGCTGCCTTTGGGAGCTGGGCCCTTCAAAAATAGTTGCTGGGGACTGCCCTAAATGATGCTCGTGCCTCTCACAGGGCTTGGCAGCACCAGGAGCTGTGCCTGGCGTTTGGGGCTGGTGGGACCCTGCCTCCAGCCCCCCGCTCTCCACAGCCCTGCTGTCTGGCGTGCTGGCCCTCGATCCCCTTCCCGGCATCTTGTCTTGGCTCGTCTCCTGGAATTTTACAGCGTTTGGGTTATATTTGGGATCGGCAGCCAATAACCCCGTTTCTCACGGATGGCCCAGCTGGGGCTTGGCTCCAGCAGGAAGCCCGGGGAGAGGGAGCGGGGCCAGAGGCCTGAGGCCGTGCCCCCAGCACCTTCCTCCTGCACTGCCCCTCCTTTAAAACCAGACGTGGCCATGGGGAGAGCTGCAAAACCTCCTTGGGGAGCACTGCCTGCCCCCAGCCCCTGGTGGGACGGGGTCTGAGCTGCTGACAGGGATGCTTGGGGGAGGCAGCTCAGCCTTTGGGGCCTTTCTGGTGCACCTCAAGCTCCCCACAAAGAAACCCCAGCTGCAGGTGCTCCAGGACAGGTTGAGGTTTGCAACAGGGCTTCTCTGGTGCTCTTGGGGAGCTGTGGGGTCGGGATGCAGACCGTAACACAGCCCTGAGCAGCAAAAAATACATCCGAGCCCCTTTACCAGCAGGCAGCTGGTCAGGCCGGCCGTCTGGAGGCCATCTGGGGGCTCAGGCTGGTGTCTGGGCTAATGCCGGCCCCGCCGTGCAGGGCAGTGGCAGGAGGGGAATTTTTGCCCTGACGGAGAGGCCTAAGGCCAAAATCCACCAGGGGAAGCAGAGGGGGGACACGTGGAGCCAGCAGGTTTCACTGGGGACCAAATGCATGGGGCTCGGTGTGCTCGGGGCCTCATGGAGGCTGCTGCCGGGCGGTTTCAGATGCCTGTGTGCGTGTGTCAGCGTCTGGGGCCGCGTCCAGGGCTGGCGCAGGCACCAGGCCCGCTGCCAGCTGGAGGTGCTGCTGCCGGCACCTTCCTCCCCCTTGTTATTCCCGATCCTGGTCAGAAATAAGCACTGCTACATCCCGGGGGCACTCGCAAAGAGCTTTCCCTCTCCCTGAAGCCAAGCTGTTGAATTTACAGCCCTAAATATGAAGGGAGAGGGAGGGAGATGAGTTTTGAAAGTGGGGAAACTGAGGCAGGGAGCGCGGCACCATCCCCACCAGAGCCCAGTCCTCGTCTGTCAGCCCCTGCTGGTTTGGGGATTCGAGCTGGTTTGGGGTCAGGGATGCCGGCCTGTACTGGTGGCCTTGCTGGGAGCACGGGATTGTTTGCGGTGGGCAGAGGAAGCTCCCCTCCCTTCTGTTTTGCCTTTTTTCCCCCCTTTGTTTTGCCAGTTTCTAAACAGCCCTGTTCGGTGTTGTTCTTAATTTAAAACAAAGCCTTTGTCTGGCAGTGCTCTTCTGTGGTTTTCAAGTGATTTAAAGGAAAAAAAAAAAAAGGAAAAGTATCCTCCCCAAATCCGAAACTAAGGGCTGATCCTGACCCTGAACTTGTTTCCCCCCATCCAGTTCATTTCCTTTCTCCCCTGGCCCTGCCAGCCCTCTAGGAAACCAGGATTTTGCACGTCCCAGCCTGCTGTAGCCCCACAGCCCCACCACACCCCTGCAGCTTCACCCTGCACCCACTTGGCTTCCACTAAACCCTACAAGTTTCTCTCCTGATCTGGTAAAATCGGGGGCACAGCTGAAACCAGCAGCGTTCGGAGCAGCGGAAGGGTTTTGCTGGGTGTTAAACCTGCCCCTGCAAAACACGAGGCCATTTCGGGCAGGCAGATGGGGCAGGCACCGAGGATTTGGGCACGCAGCGGTGAGGATATGGGGGGCATGGGACCACCACCGAAACCCCGAACATCTCGCTCTGGAGGATTTGCAGGTGATTCAGGACAGGACATGCGGGGTGCCGGCACCGCCCTGCTGTGGGAATCGCAGGGCAGCCGTGCCTGGAGAGCCCGGGGGCAAGCTTTGATTTCGCACGTGGGAATTGGGGGCTGCCCGGCACCACGCCAGGCCCCCTGGGCACCGACGGCAGCGGTACCTGCACCGTCATGTTGCTGCCTCAGCCTGCTGGGGCATGGCTTTAGGATCTCCCCAAACGGGCATCCCGTTAGCGCTGCCTCGCGCTCCGCTGCTCCAGGTTGAGGGCAGGGAGTGGGAAAAGCTGGTCCTGCAAGCAGCTTGAGGCCGAGGCCGCTTCCAACAGGGTGCTCTTTTGCCCAGTGTCCCCAATGAAGGGCTGCACCGGGTGTTTAAAGCCCCAGCCCTGGCCTCCCCGCTGCTCCCTCCCTGTGCCTCTCGTGTCTTTTCCTGCCCGCCGAGCAGGGGAAGCCTTGGAGCGAGGTTGGGAAAGAAGCCGGCTCTTGGCCCGGTGCCTCTCCCAGCTCCTTTCAGTTGTAAATCCCAGGATGTGCTGTTGGCTTTGTGTTAAATCGGATTTCTGGAGAAGAAGTTTTCTCCCCAATTCCGGTAAGGATTCACGAGGCCTTTGAATGACTCGGTAATTCAGTAGCGATGCTGGCAGGGACCCCCAGAGCAAACCCGCCCGCGTTACCCAGCTGTGCCCGGCTGCCTGCGAGCTCGGGAGGGGGCTGCTCCCAGCGCTTGGGCAGCGGCCGTGGTGCTCCCTCATTGCTGCCCATCCCCAAAAGATGCAAAAAAAACCCCAGCAGGTGCTGAGCAGGGTTCTTGCCCTGTTTTTTTTTTTTTTTTTTTTTTTTTAATTGGGCATGGGGCCTGTGTGGGGGAAAATCACCTGCAGACACCAGAGTAATAATCCATTGCATGATGGCATGGGGCAAAAATCACCTAAAAACACAAGATTCGGGACTGGGTACAGCAGGGTATGGCGGCGCGTGGTGCCAGCGTGCCACAAGCTCTGTGATGGTGACAAAGCATTGCTGCATGTGTGGGAAAGGCTGCGGCTCGTCCCCACCAGCCTCCGCAGCACTGGAAGCTCCCACAGCAGGGCTTTCCCCTCGCAGCCGTGTGGCTGCGGTGTAGAAACCCCCTCAGGGCAGATCCTGCACCCAGGGATGCCCCTGGGGTGGGCTCTGAGGGGAGCACAGAGTTGCCCTTGCAAGACAGATGGCTGATCTCTGCTGGGTTAAATAGGATTTGCCTGTGGCTCGGGACTGAGTTGACAAAACATTGAGTTTACATAGCAAGCTTTTGGCTAAAAGATGTCTTTTTAACGCTGAATGTGCACCCAAGCCTTGCTTGGCCACCATCCCCTCCTGCTCGTGACTCTGGGTAAGTCACTTCCCCTTTCCGTGAACTGATTGATATTTTTAACTCTTTCTCCACCTCCTCCTCTCTGGGGGAGGCCGTCTGGGGATTTTTTTTCCTCCCCAAGCCTAAGCAAAGCATTTGGCACGCTGGGGCCTCCTGTTAACAACCCCGATGAGGCGCACAGGGAACTCCAGGCAGACCCACGAGTGCTTCTCAGCCCGTCCAGGACACTCTGGAGCGGGCGGGATTTCCAGCGGAGCTTCAGGAAGGAAAAAAGGGAAACGCTGCAGACCTGCTCCGTGCTGGCCACCCCAGGCCGGCAGGAAGGGATGAGCTCAGAGTGGTGACTTCCAGACCTCGTCCCCTGTCCCCGGGGTGCTGCGAGGCTGGAGAAGCGTGGGGAGCTGTGGGAGCCCCAGCTCCCGTGCGCATTGTGCGCCGGCACGGCCGCATCCTGGCACCGGCGCGCTCGGCTGCTGTTTGTTTCCCTTCTTCGGATGCGGGTTTTGTTCTTCTGAACAAACACACGGGGCTGAACAACAACAAAAATCCCCCCTCTTCCCGTTGAGCCGGGCGCTGGGGCTGTGTGAACCAGCGGCCAGCTGCGGTCGCAGCGTTGTCCGCAGGGCTGGCTCGCAGCTATTTTTGGGAGCTGCGAAATCCCTGGGAAAGAGGCACCTCTCCTTTGCCAGGAGGGGATAAAAGACGCCAGGTTGGGGCTGCTGGGGTTGGTGAACACCACTGATATCACATTTTTTGTTTGATGGCAATATTTACAGATAAAGGCCTGAAGATAAGAGGCTGGCTGGCTCCTCACTGCTGCCGTTGTGGGGCCAGCAGCATCCCGGCGCTAGCTCGTCCCTGCGAGGTGCACGCACACGGCTCTGTGCATAACCAAAATCCGTGTCCTTCTCCTCCCAGAAACCTCCATACCTGAAGATCTGTGGCTTTGACTCCGCTGCCCTCACCCTGGCCGGCCCAGCCCATGATGGCACTGTGTCTCAAGCAAGTCTTCAACAAAGACAAAACGTTTCGGCCCCGCAAGAAGTTTGAGCCCGGCACCCAGCGCTTCGAGCTCTACAAGAAAGCCCAGGCCTCCCTCAAATCCGGGCTGGACCTGAGGACGGTGGTGCAGCTGCCTCCCGGCGAGAGCATCAACGACTGGATCGCCGTGCACGTGGTGGACTTCTTCAACCGCATCAACCTCATCTACGGCACCATGTCCGAGTACTGCACCGAGAGGAGCTGCCCCATCATGTCGGGAGGGCTCAAGTACGAGTACCGCTGGCAGGACGATAGCAAATACAAGAAGCCGACCAAGCTGTCGGCCCCGCAGTACATGTGCATGCTGATGGACTGGATCGAGATGCTCATCAACAACGAGGACATCTTCCCCACCAGGATAGGTGAGTGGGACCGTGGTTCCTCACAGAAGGGCTCTGCTTGTAACCAGTGTGGGTTCCCAAACCAGCACTGCAAACCTCCGGGTGGTGCTGAATTTAGCAATCCCAAGAGATTGGGATTCCTCGTTCTGTTTGCAGGAAAAAATATTCTCTTCTTCTGTGCTTTCGTTTTTTCCATCTATGCTGTGATTCTGAGAAGTGAGGGCTGGTAGGCTGTCTGCTCGCCCATCCTCGAGGAGCTGAGCTGCAACGCTGCTTGGAGGCGGTCAGCCCACCCCCGCACCATCTTGTCCATTTTGTCTTGATGGACCAGCTCCAGTTCTTTCTGCTTTTCTAAGCAGGTTCATGCTCCCAAGGTCTGGCCTTTGTCCTGCCTTGCTGCGTCACTTCTCAGCTCCTTTCCACCCCTGCTAATTCATCCCAGCCCTGACGATACATCTCATCGTGCTGTTTAGCTAAGGCGTCTCCAGAGCAGAGGCCTGACCGGGGATCCGGCCTTTCCAGCTGCTCACCCCCTGCATATGATGCAACCTTGCAAAAAGTTTGGCCTTAAGAGCTTGCAGCAGCTGCCAAAGGCAAAAGCAGCATGTGAAATAACCCCTCTGCTGCTGACCTGATGTGTTTGGCAGCTGATATTGGCTCTGCTGCTGAGCTGCTTTCTCATTTGGGGAGATGTGCAGGTGCTGGTGTGCTGGGTGCTGGTAAAAGACATCTACCACCTCTCCTCTTTGCTGAGGGGCTGCTCTGGTTGTTTCTGCCATCTTCATGGAGCAGAAAAGGTCTATAAATAAGCTCTCGCCCTGTCAGTGTTCAAGAGGCACTTGGATAATGTCTTTAATAACATGCTTCAGCTTTTGGTTAGCTCTGAAGTGGTCAGGCAGTTGGACGCGATGGTCTTTGTAGGTCCCTTCCCACTGAACTTTTCTGTTCTGCTCTGTCCCACGGGATCTCTTCTTTCCCTGGGTCATTTGCACCAGATCTGGCTGCCAGAGTCTCAGTTGCTGCCCGGGAGAGGTTGCTTTCCAGAAAAAAATCCAAAGCCACTTGAATGGAAAGGAAGCTTTAGGGATCTTAAGGCGAAATGCAGGGCTTTGCAAGTCTGTTTCCCCAAGCAGCACAGCCGACAGAGCTGGATGAAACCACTGCAGTTGTTCTTAGGATTTTTATTAATATGCTGAAAAAGCCTTGGAAACATCGAAGAAAATGGTCTGTGTGGGATTTCTGGCTGCCACTAATTCTCACAGCCCCGTTTGGCTGTGCTGGAGCATCTAGGCACGTGCTGCTGCTTTTTTGGGGAAAGCCTCTGCCCCTCTGGGCTATGAGGCTTGGAGGGGTGACAGCTCTGTGCAAGCAGGAGAGAGGCAGCACATGGAGGCTTGGCTTACCAAAATCTTAATTTCAGCCTTGTGGGATGGGGCTGCCCGATCTGACCTGGCTGCACAGGCTCTGCCTGCAGCTAGGGGAGAGGCTCCTCTGATTGGGGGGCTCCTTCGTCCTGGGCTTGGAGGCTCAGCTGGAAATGAAAGGAGATGGTGAGGGTGGAGGAGATGCTGCATCTTCCCTGTCCACAGGGAAGTCTACTGCAGGGCTCAGTCCCACTGAAAGGCTTTGCTGTATAAATCCTCCCTCTGGAAGGAAACCTGTCTGCCACGATGAGACAGTTTCCTGGCTGGGGTGAGCCTGGCTGCCATAAATCACCTCCAGCTCTCCCAGCCCACCCGGATCAGTTAACATGCGCTTAGCGCTCTGTTTCCGTTCTCCCAACCAACATAGCTGGCCTGAAAAAAAATTATTAAATGCAGAATAAGCATTGTTCCCATGCAGGGATTAGAATAAGTGATTCTACAGGCTTATTTTTACCAGCTGGTAAAGCTATGTCAGTAGATTTCTTCATGAGCGAGTTACCACCGGGAAAATATCGGCTCCTCCTGGTCATCACCCTGCCCCGTGGTGCCTGCTGATAGCTGGGGAAATCGCATTTTGTGTTTCACCAAAAGCTCACCCATGGTGAAAACCCAAACTTGTAGGGTCTGCAGGGCCACCTGTCCCATGCCCACACTGCCCCGTGTGCCAAGACATCTCCGTTTTTAAAGCAGCGTGGATGTGAGGCTTGGACCAAAAGCAGCGGCGGCAGCGCCCGTGCTCTCTGCCAGCTCTGCCCGCGGCTGCCAGGAGCATCGCTCACAGGAGGCTCTGGGGCTGTTCTTGGAAAGCTCTCCCAAGCCCAACCCTGCCATGCAAGCATATTCCCAAAACAATGACAAAAAGCAGAGAAAACTTGATTCATAATTATCCCCTCCTTTCTCCCCGTAACAACAGGAGAAAAATGTTCAGAATTCGGCTAATTGTTGCAGTTTTCTCAGCTAGCTATTTTTTACACAATTTGCCTTTTATTTTCTCCCTTCTTTCTTCCCGAATTAATGCCACAGCAGCTTGCAGCTGCCACCGTGCTGTTAGTTTCAAAGGAGCTTTAAAGACGTATTTTTAGGAAAAGATGAATCACCGAACCATCCAGCGGCCAAAATGGATTTTTAGCAATAATATTAACGACGATAATTCATCACGTCGTTCACTGAATTACTGCTCTTGGAGAGAAAAAAATACGACTGCCAAGAAGCAAAATAGTTTCACATTACTGATTCATCATGAAAAAATGGAATTGGCTGGTGCACAAGGGCTGGGGACGGGAGAGATGGCAGGAAGGGTCCAAGACCCATCCGCCTTCCCTTCCTGTAAGCGCAGGCGCTTCGTTGCCTCTCATCCTCATTTCCTTTTCCTCGCGGTCCCACACGGCTTCCTTATGTTTTGAAGCAATCGGCGCAGAGGGTGGAAAACAGACTCCTCGGCGCATTAAATCACATCGTGGGGTTTCAAGGAAAACATCCAGGAATAACTGAAGCTGCTGATTCGTGTCAGGGCAGTGAGTCACGCTGCTGGCAGCGATGAAATCGTACCTGCTGCTGCGTTTACAGCCCTTGCCCTGCCTTCCAGCACATCTGATGCTCTCCGTTTCCCCGCTCGGCTCCTGCTAGGGCCATTTCTGCTTGGGAGAGCAAGCGGGGAGATACGGGGAGAAGGAGCCAGAACCCGACCCTCAAAATCCCTGGGCCCAAAGGACCGTAGCAGGTGGTGGTGTCATGACGAGGTGACCCGCTGAAGTCCATGGGTGACAGCCAAAAAAACACCACGGCAGCCTGGCGGTGCCCACAGAGGACAGCCTGACACTGACACCTTGTGATGGACACAAGGAAGAGCAGCCCAGGAGCTGATGGTGCTGCTGGGTTCATGGGAAGCCACAGTGGTGGGGTAGCCCAGGAGGGTACCTCGAGCTCTTGGCAGCCCGATGCTCTCTCTGCAGGCATCATTAGGAGTGTGATAGCTCAGCAGCTCCCACAGTGGCTGTCAGCCACAAGCTTTGTGCTAAATCTCTGTTCCCTGATGCAAGAGATGCTTTTGGAGAGCCCAGGTTGGAGCTGGATGTGTCTGCCCCCCCCAAGTCTCTTCAGCCTGTGCACGAAGATGTTGCTGGCAACTGGTTTATAGGACAAAACGGTTCCTGACTAACCTCAGGACAAAGGCAGAGGAAAGCCACCCATCACCACCTGCCAGCTCTGGAGGTGGATCCTCCAACAGCAGTATCAGGACCACAGATGCCATCAGCCCTGGCAGTCTGAGCCCATTCTGTTCAGAACAGCCTGTGTTTCCCAGCTGGCTTCTGGGAACCTGCGTTCATCCGAAATGACTTGCTCTGATGGATTTTTCTTTATTAAAAGAAATATTTCTTGACTGATTCCTCAAAGGTGCTCTGCAGGGGCCACCCTAATGGCTTGTCCCTGCCCCTATCCGGGTGATTTGGGCTTTTATTTGCTTAGCAAATTCTCACTCAGTGCAAAAAGCCCCAGTGAAGCCTTTGCTAAAGCACAATGCCCTTCCTGACAGCAGGGAAGCCCAGAGGTCTGCTCCATGCTCCCTGCCTCAGCACACAGCAGGCAGGGAGAGCTCCACGGTCAGGGGGTGAGGGCAGAAGCAGATCCCCACGAGAAGAGGGGCACGGCACTGCTGCTGGCAAACAAAACTGCCAGGAGCCAGTGGGAAAAAAACAAGTTAATTGCCTAGCGGGGCTGATGAGGAAGACTCAAATTACCATTTTTATTGTTTTTTTTTTTAGCTGAGAGATTTGCTGATGCTTTCCACAGCATCATGCGTGAGCTGGCCACAGTTGAGCGGAGATTATTTGGGAAGATTTTTAAGAGGTTAAGTGCTGTATTAGTAAGAAGCTCGGGGAGGAGGTAGGTACAGCTGCGGGAAGGGAAGATTTTATTTTGCTTGTTGCAGATTTGCATTGAATTGCTCAGGGGAGAGGAAGAACCGTCAGGAAAACAAATCATAATTGTTTCATTTTCCACCTTCCAAAAAAAATATTTGCAGGGGTTTCAAAAGCCAGGCTTCCTTTAGAGATTTGCTTGCTGACACGGACCCTGTTATACCTCTGAGATTTGCACTGTGATAGTAGTGTGTTTAGGCAAGGGTGGAAATGCAGAATAAGAAATTGTGTCCTTGTGCAGGACAAGGCTAAAAGCATAGAGTAAAGTGTGGTGGGCCCAGTTCCTGAACAACCTGGGAGGACGTTTCAGTAGGGAGCATCATCCAGGCACAATGGCATGACTTCGCAAGGATTGCCAAGCCAGGCGTCTCTGTTCCTGATTTAGTGACACAATTGTTTGAAACATGGCTCAGGAGGAAATCTGGAACCCCACCTGTTTCTGTGGATGCATCAGAAGTGATGTTTGAGGGTGTGTGGAGGAAGAAAGGTAGCACAACCCATGGTTTCAGTTCTGAGGAGCAGGGAAGGTTTCCGTCCTGCTGAGACAGGTTTTGTTCTGTCGTAGACTTGGGTCAAGACATTTGTGCTGCGCTGGGTCTGCTCAGATTTGTATGGAAAGGGCAGGACAGAGGGATCCAGACAGGGAAAGATGTGGCCTCCGACATTGGATGAGAAATTTTCTCTCCTAGGGAAACTCCCCAGATTGCCAGAATTGCAGAAAATTGCTGTTTGGGCGATGAGGAAATTGGGCAAGGGAGAAAGCTGGATGGCACAGTGCCCTGCTGGAGCTGTCACCTTGACATTGGCCAAGGGAGTCTTTCACCCATGGCTCCCTGTTAAGCACAGCAGCAACATTTACACTCTAGCTGTTGTTTTGTTTTGTTTTCCTGGTGGTGGTGGGGTTTTATTTTCATTTTTTTCCAGAAATGGTCAAATGGTTTCCAACGTGCTTCTGCTTTGCAGGTGTCCCCTTCCCCAAGCAGTTCCAGCAGGTTTGCACTAAGATCCTCACCCGCCTCTTCCGTGTCTTCGTCCACGTCTACATCCATCACTTTGACAGCATCATCAACATGGGTGCTGAGGCTCACGTCAACACCTGCTACAAGCACTTTTACTACTTCATCAGGGAGTTCAGCCTGGTCGACCATCGGGAGCTGGAGCCTTTGGTAAGGATGCCCCAGGTGGGGCTGGGCTCTGCCCCCTGCAGTCACCCTCTGTGGGCTCTTTCAGCCACCCTCCCCCAGCAGCACACCCACAGTTTTTGTCTCTGCACCACAACAGGGTGTCCCTCTGTAATCTTGGCAGCTCTAACGAAATTTGCACACCAAGTGTTGCCAGGCACTTGTGTGCACGCAGCTTTCTAGGGTCAGATCTGAGCCCAGGTCTCCTCTCCAGGCTTGAGTGTTCCTATTATGGTCTAAGGTCCTTGCTTCAGCTCCAAGTGCGAATTACAAAGAGGCTGGAGGAAGGCGAGCCCCAGCAGGGCACACAGCTCCAGACAGCAGCTATCCAAGCCAAACAAGAGAGGCCTTGCTGGAGCTCCAGGATCTGCTGCAGCCTCCCCTGGGAAGCAATTAGCCAGGCAGAGACCTTGGAAAAAGCAGGGCTGGGGGCACCAGAGGAAGAGCAAGACAGGCCTGGCACATAAACCAGAAAATGTGCATGTTTTTGTAACACAAACAAAGGTGTCACAGGCAAAAAGTCATGTGTGGTCTGACCTAGAGAGGATGTGTTGTGATGGGGAGAAGAATTAATAGGGAGCCCAGTGTCACTGCGTCCTGTGTCCTTCTTCCTCCCCAGCACCCCCTCATGACAAACCTCGTTAGCATCGAAACACAGCCCGTGATGGTGTCATCTCCTTTGGCTGATGCTGGCTAACATAAATAATTAGCACTAATAGCCAAAGCAGAGGCTGACATCGCTAAATAGCCTTTCAATGCCACTGACTCACATGCAGCACGGGATCATTTATGGGTCTAGATGAATCGAAGATGAATAAGTTTTCCAGCGTGATGCAACCAGGGTTAAACTATGAGGAAATGAGGTGCGTTTCTCTCTGGTCTGTCTTGTTTCTTGGTGTGCCCATTGCCTGGTTTGCACTGCTGGTATCCAAGCCCTGCGGGAGGCTCGGGCACCTCCTTCCCCTGGGCGATGCCTGGCTGTAGGTGTGAGTGAGTGACCTGCAGCCAGAGGGTGGCTGCGCCCTAGATGTAGCGCTGTGTTTGGGACAAGGAGACAAGTTCCTGCAGCTTATGGGCAACTTTCAAGGATTTCAAGGAAAGCCATTCTGATCACCCTGTTACCCCAGCGAAGCTGTAACTGGGCATTGGTCCCAAAATCTGAGTGGGTTAGGACACTTCTCTCTGCTGCACGCAGGGAAAGCTGCACTTACTGCTGCACTTGGACAGCCAGAAAACACCAGGAGACCAAAGGGGACAAGGTCAGGCTTCTGCAACGATTCCTTCCCACCAAGACAAAATATCAGGCAGTCAGTGGCTTGCTTTGCTCCTTCTCACCCAGCTGCACCATGGCTATTGCCCTGCCCCTGGGTGTTTTTCAGTCTTGAAGAACTCTTCAGCTGGCTTGACACACAGGTGAGGACAGACAGCGCATTGCATCTGCCTTCATTGTAAGTTAAGAGTTAGGATCTTGTTTTTGCAAGTCCTCAAAGGTTGCAGAAAGCTGATCATCTCTCAGTCAGGATGAGATGAACCTGTCCTCGAGAGGCTGAGTCCCTCCTGACTGCCTCATGATCCCGGAGGACTGACCTCACCTTGCAGTTAGCTGACCAGTTAGCCCTGCACAAATCCCATGGGAGAGGAGAGTCCTGTTCCCTGCACGTGGCTGTGGAGGGCCACCAAGCACATGGGGACTTGGCGGGAGCAGGACAGCAGGTCTGAGTGCTGTACTATGGCTGGAGCTGCCCAGATGTGGGTTTTCTTCTGGGAAGCCCCAGTTTGGAGATTTAGGATGGTGAGGAAAGAAAAATCAGCATCTCATCAGCCAGAGAATGTCCAGTTAGGCCCAAGTAGCTCGAAAAAAATACAGGGATTATGGGATGAAGGGGTTCTTGGTTTGAAAGACTGCCTCTGCCTGAATTTCCCTTTGCTGTCTCAATCAAACTTTTGTCAAACTTCTTTAGGAAGTGATTTCATAGTAGTGAATTGCAGGAGCCAAAAACGAGATAAGAGAGATCTTTTGCAAAGGCAGAACTAGTGACAGGCAGTGATTCACTCTTAGCAAAGGCCAAGTGCAGAAATGGGGGCTGAGGGGAGCTGTGCACTTGGGGGAAGAGGCGACAGGTCGCGGCACTGGGCAGCAGCACTGGCAGAGCCCCAGCTGCTCACGTACCAAGGCAGGGTGCATGGATTTCCATGGAGCCAGCAGCAGGCTACCTGCCAAGCTGCCCCGCGTGGCACTACGGTGTCAGCTGTCTCTGCACTTACTGGTTCTGTCTTTTCTTTCCCCTTTCTTCCAACGCAGAAGGAAATGACAGAACGGATTTGCCACTGAGGCCACCTCGGCGGGCGCACTCAGCCAGCTCACTCGGCACCCGACGGGACAAGAGTGCTGGGGGACCCCTCCCGAGGACCTGCTCTGGGAGTCTCAACTGAACTATGAACGCTGTGGAAGAGCCTCTTCAGGCCAGAGCTGGATCCCAAGCTTGCTAAACATCTCTGAGCATACATATTTTAAAAATTTTAACAGATCCCAGTCTGTCATGTGGCTACTGTCTTAGAAAGCCACTGACTTCTGGAGAACGGGGCAAGCTGGGTTGACTGATACACACTCTGGTCTCTAAAAACCAATCCCATGTGTGATAACATTTCCTCAGCTAACTTGCCTCTTGTTTGGTCCTCAGCTACATTACCTTCAAACACTTTGTTAGCGATACCTGCCCTGCAAGCAGGTATGCCCTTGGCTGAATCATGCCTGTGGCCTTGCCCAGATGCGGGGGGTTTGTGGTAACATCAGAGGTCAGCTCTGCAAAGCTGCTGAGGTTTGATCCCAGCTGACTTCACGAGGTTAGCTGCCAATGTCCTGTTCTTAATCATGAGCTGTGAATGTCTCTCCTTCTGACCTAATCCATGCTTTACCAAAGGGACCTTTTTTATTTTTTTTTCCCTTTTTTTTTTTTCCCCCAGGAACTTTTCACACTTGGCAGCAGGGACTTCATGACTAATAGCAAGGTGGCCCCAGGACAAAAGGAAGTGAATTGGCGACTTTCCATTGTGATCACACAGTTCACACAAGTATTTTCTAAACTCAGAAACTGTGATACAAAGAGAGGGAAATAAGCTTGCCAGAAAACAAACAGTGTTTCCTGACATGTTGTCTTGGCTCAAAGCAGCAGGTGCAGGCTAGAGAAATTGTTTTCTTTCCATCGTCCAACATTATAGCATAGAAAAACAGGTGGGGAAGGACTTTAAGAGACATCTCGTCTACCCTGATTGTCCAAAAATGCAAGATCGGTTCCCCTTAAGCCTTTCTGATCAGAGTTTCTCTAGCCCAAAAAAGAAAGCATACCATTGCTACCTGGTCTGTGCCCCTATTCCCATGAAAGGCATCACATCCCAAAACTTCTTCCCCTTCTGCTTGCAGTGCCTGTTAACTAGTGTCCCGTTCCCTGTGACATTTTCTTTTGACAAGAGTTGAAGTCTTTTTTTATTTTAATTTTATTTTTTTTTTTTTATTTTTTTTTACAATTTTGAGGGAATTAAATTGTCTGAGCCATGGCGTTTTATAGTTTGTCTTTCCTGGCCTTTTTCTGGGAAAGTTTTGTACACCAGACCCATCTGATATTTATAGTATTTGCCCATTTGGGGGGGAGGAAGGGGATGTGGCTAAAAAATGTAAATATTTAAGCCAACACTAAAGTGCACAAATGCATTTTTAGTGCTCAGAGCACTTATTTTGTTGTGAAAATCTATTTTTTTTAATCTTGTGTACCAGATGTATATTTTTACATGGAAATAAAATGGAGCAAAATGGACACGAAATGACCCAATAAATCATTGCGATATTTTCACTGTAAAATAATAATTGAAAGTCCAAACATTTTTGTTCTGTTACTAATTAAAGAAACATGAACAAGCCTCGTGTGCTTCACTCTTCCCTAATTCCTCTGAGATATGACATCATGAAACAGCACCCAGGATAACTTGAACGGATTTCCCCCAGGACTCGCAGCACTGATGAAGCTCAGAGCCACATCAGGACCTCAGCAACTGGCAGCTTTGCAAAAAGTTGTGCATGATGGAGAAAACTCTGTAACTGGCTGCTGAATAGTGGTTTGGGGCTCAGCCACCAGCAGCAGAGCCTTAGTGTGTGATGTAAATGCCATGAGGGGTCTGTGGAGAAAGGACTGAGGAAAGTTCTTAAGTATTTGAACATCTCTGTAGTGGATCTGGCCACTGTTTTTCACTGATCATACAGAAAAATTCAGTTCTTGGTGTTTTCCCACAGCCTGCATCTCAGAAAGTGGCTGGTGTAGGCTCATGTTCCTGGTCTGCATTGTCCCCTTGCAGTTTTTTTTATCAGCATACCACCTGAAGGTATTTTTCCAGTGATGCACAGTAGTGAGTTTTGCTCACTGCTTCTTCCACAGGTACGTGGTTCCTGCACCACCAGTGGGGTTGGCAAATGGGGTGGTGGTAGGGGGGGGTTGCTGGACACAGTGGCATCTCCAGCAAGGAGCTGGAAGGTCCTAGGGTGAATGGTCATAACAACCATGACGTGATCTGGTCTGAGGTACTTTTCCTCTCTTGGTGAAAGCTTGTAGTCTGTAAGAGAGGACTTGGGAAGAGAGAAAAAGGAGCTGTTGTTTCAAGGGGTTAAAAATCTGTCCACACTGTGAGGTAACCGTGAAGCCACTGGGAATTAGAAAGGGGTAAGGAGGGTTAATGACACGAGATCCGTTCTTGGATTGCTTTCTTGGAGGAGGGAGAGATGCTGATTCCAGCAGAGAGTTCCACAGCTAGAGGCAAGAGTCTCTCTCTTGAATGCATGCAGTTTTTCCCTTCTGGCAGCTGATGGCTTTGTTAGCACAGCCTGGTCAGCTGGATTCCCTCATGCGGGTCAGGGAAGGACAAATGACTCACAAGTGTCGTGAAAATCTTGAAGCCGGAGTGTGGCATTCAGCTCCCCGCTGAAAAGAGACCCTGAGTCACAGCTGAAATGCCAGCGGTGCGTGGGGGACTACTGCACGTCTGCGCTGATGTAGAACATCATAGCAACAGCAAATGAGGTCTCCTGCATGAGAGAGTCTCTTCCTATAGAGGTGGCTGAAGGAAAAAAATAAATAAAATTTTTAAAATAAATAAATAAAAAAGAAGGAAGCATGGTCTGGAGGGCAGAGGATCCCTGACTCCTCAACATATATGATTATTCAGCCTGTGTTAGAAGGAGAAGCTTCACTGCCTTATGAGTAACCCTCCAAAAGCTATTTTATTACTACCTTTAACGAAGCTGTCCCACCTGGGAATAGCCATATTGCCACAGACCCATCTTTTGCCATTTAGTATTTTAAATCCACCAGGCCAGTTGCCAATTGCTTTGGGCTATGCCCTAACGATGGAGTGAGGGCAGCGTTTTGCTGTCGTGGCTGTCAGGTGAGTGTATGTAGGAGCTGGCAGTCTCAGGACAACTCACTGCAGGCATCCTGGGCTGGAGGCCAGGACCAGCACTGCACTCGTGGTCTTTCTCCCTTGGCTCTTACTCGTCCTGCAGCTTCCCAGCAGTGCCGGGATTCTCCACGCTTACATGTGCTGGAGGGAATAAGAGCTGAGATGTTCGCAGGGTCTCAGTGTCTCCAGCGGCTGTCCAAGGGACTGGCATAAGGGATAGCACATGGCTTGTGCTTCCCTGTGCTCCCCCAGGCTGCACAGCCTAGGAAATGGATGGAAGGATTTGTAAAAGGGGTCTTTGCAAGGACTTCTTGCTGGGTCTGGCAGCAAGGCGAGGAGCTGCAGAGGATAAAAAGCACAGCGTGCAGCATGAAGCCTGGAGTACTGCCAGCCTGGTGCTACTGCCGGGGAGGTGACAACATGAGTTTCCAGGGTATTTCTACTCACTGTGTCTTTATTTTAGTCACCGTGTCTTTGCTTTTTTAATTTATTTTATTAACGAACCGGTCACTTCATCGTCCGTCTCCAAAAGGTCTGCAAGGAGAGAGGTGACAGACCAGACATGAGTGGCCACGTAAACCCTTCCCGAGTGTCTAATACGCCTTCAGTGTTGCAAGCTTGCAGACACTGTAATTTGCTTGATATCTCCCTTCCCTTTTCATCTGGCAGCCCTATTTCCCTTCGGGCATGAGGCCGTGTGTGTCTCAAAAGCCCCTGTGCAGTGCACAGCTGTACGGCCTGGGGAAGACGGGGAGTTTGGGGCTATGCAGTAACCATCTAATGACTGGTTGTAGAGTGGAGACAAGCATTTTTCTGCTTGTTTCCAGCAAGTTTGATTTGCTGGTGTCCAGCAGACCACAAATTTTCCAGATCCCATGTTACTTTGGCTTCCTATTAAATAGTCAGTTCAGGACCTCTGTCCCGTTGGGCAGCGGACTGGCACCTTGTGAAGGTGTGAGAAGTCCTCATGGGGCTGGTTATAGGAAAAGCAAGTTTCACCCTGGCATTCACAAACATCCATACCAACAATTTTAATTCACACCACCTACACCATGCTACACATGAATCATAAGGTTTCCTGAAAGAAACAGCACTTTTTTTTTTTTTTCTTTTCCCTGTAAAGAAGGGCTGTTCACCACAAAAGAGTGACACAGCAGTTTGATCCTGGCCAATGTGATTGCATAAGCCATTCTCTGGGTTTAATCGCCTAAATGAGAAGTATAATTTTCAGAGAAACGGAGCCTGTACAGCTTCCTTGAACAGCAGAGGGAATGGTACATGCTCCTCAAAACCAGACTAGACTAGATTGAAGGTGCTTAAATATAGATTTAGGTGCTTGGCTGTGGGCAGATAAGAGAGGGATAATTCTAGTCAAGGCTTAAAATCATTTTTGCAGTAAAACATAGGCCAAAGTACTGTGATCCAAATGCAACATGGCTAAATCAAAACTAGCTTTGGTAATTATTTCTTATTTGCCTAACAGCCAGCACAGATGTCTCCTTATCTTCTCTGCTGTGTGCTGCATGGGTAAAAAGCAGACGTAATTGAAGAGGTATTAAAAATAAAAGGAAAAGTCACGTGGAAGAGCTACTTATTTTACTGTGGTTAATACACGAATTACACTGCTTGAGAAGGTGCTTTCTACTTCACTTTTCACAGGACTTTGCCCTGAAATATAAGCATAACCATTTCTTAGAAATGCCATGCCTATTCTATTAAAAACAAGAAAAGGAGAACCTGAAGCCTTATTTTTACAGCTTTATACCAGGCCAGATTGAAACTTAAGACTTGTGCTCTGGTTAAGTGTGCTGTGCAGCTGAGTCACCTTGCAAGTAACAAAGGGGACAGAAAAACAAGGATTCAGAAAAATAAGGACTGCACGTACATCTTGCTTTGAGAATGGATGCCTTACTTTTACAGACAGAAAACGCTGTTCAATAGAGCCTTTTAACCCAGCAAAGAACAATATGACAAGAAACAACAGATGGAAATTACAATCCAGATGAATTATATTTGAAAATAAACTACATGTGTTTGACATCTCCTCTGAGCATAGACAGTCCTCAATGCTGAGAGTGTGAATGTGCTTGCACCAACTCGAGCTACTCTTCCAGACTACCCTTCAATTTTGTTCAAGGAATACATGGGGAGATGTTCAGCCATAACTCCTGAATCCCTCAAGGATAAAAGGTTTCTAAGTGTTGTGGAAATAAGTGATCAGCTAGTGGAGAGAGGACTACTAATGCCCTCCCGTAATGGAGATGGTTGAGGATCATTCTCAGCCAAGATGGGCCTCCAGAGATCCAGGTGGGGAATTGCTGCCAGGAGTGGTTTAGCTGTGGATAAATCTTCACCTGGATTTGCCTCTTTTTAGATATCAAAGCACTGCATAAGCACACACACGGCTGCATCCTTAGGAAACTAAGCTTCAATACTTGTGCTGTTTGCAGGACAATGTGCTCTTTCACTGCTGGTGTGGTGAGGAGAACAAAACACGCCTTCATCCTGTGAGAGGATACCACAAAGATGCCATTGAGCTTCATTACACTCCATCCTGTCCTGGGACCTTCAGGTTTTAGCTGTCTGAGGCACTGCTCTCTGCTTCTCGGCTGTTTCTTTTGAACCCATGTGAGAAGCTTTCTAAAACCGTGGTATACCCTCCTGACCCCCTTGACAGAGAAGGCAGCACGAGCATGGAGTGTGCCTTAACTTGCTGTACACTTGCTGAGCTTGTGGCTTTGAGAGTTGTGGGTACTAAGCTGCATGAACAGCTTGAAACCACAGAGTGCTGGGATGCTCATAAAGCTGTAATTCACTGATTGAGCTGAATTTGGCGTTTCTCTTCAGCCATTTTAGAACAGCCAACACTAGCAGGACTCAATAGCTTTGTGTGAAAAACGCTGTTAAAAACAAGTTATTGGTCCTGTATTTGGCAGCAGAGATGACAGTCTTGGGCCAGTATAACCAAAAGAGGTTGCTCATTGGTCCCAGCCAGCATGGGTTTGTGAAGGGTAGGTCCTGCCTAACTAACCTGATTTCCTTTTATGATAAGATCACCCGTATGGTGGACCAAGGGAAACCAGCTGATGTGATTTTTTTGGACTTCAGCAAGGCTTTTGACACGGTTTCCCATAGGATCCTACTGGACAAAATGTCCACCATACAGCTAAATAAAAACATCATACGATGGGTGAGCAATTGGCTAACGGGCAGGGCCCAAAGGGTTATGGTAAATGGGGCTGCGTCAGGCTGGCGGGCGGTCACCAGTGGGGTCCCTCAAGGCTCCATTTTAGGGCCGGTACTTTTCAATATTTTTATAAACGATCTGGATGTAGGAATAGAAGGCATTTTGAGCAAGTTTGCTGATGACACCA